GTGCTCAACCCGATGCCGGTAGAACGCTCCGAAGAGGAACATAAACAACTCTCATCGGAATCCGGATCCTAGACTCAGAGCACCGGGAAAGATGCCGCAGGGCAATACAACATTTGTGGTAGTGGTATAGGGCTTACTAATACCTCCATGAGCAAATGAAACTGCTGTTTTACTGCAGTTAAGTGAGGTGCAAGGATATGTGACTATTCAACAGTGGTGATGACTTTTCTGCAATACGGGTCCTGAATTAAACATCAAACAATGATCCCATGTAAAAACGAAGCCTCTGGGTCCAATTGTTACGAGGAAAGAGTAACAGTGAGTTGTTGCTATGTTTAGGAGTGTAACTCAGCTCCCATTTGAGACCAACTGACATCAAGAGAGACGTATGCTATCCAAACAACCTGCTGACTACTTAGGGAGAAAGAGCACAATGAGTCACTGAGTAGGGGTGATGCTGGGTAGAGTTTGAAGAAGTACACTATCTGGAACCATGTTTCACCTCAATTAAAGTTGAGTATGTGAAACAAAATTGGGAAGGGCTATTTATTTTGGGGAGCTTCAAGAAGTGGCTCTTTTCTCCAAAGAGGCATTCTTTGCTTTACTGGCAATGTTCCACCCCACACAAAGGTATGAGTTGGTACATTCTGATGTTTGCCCTACATCCTGGTCTCTCACAAAGGGCAGCCCTCAACTCTGAATCCAGATTGGTCAGAGGCAGTGCTTTGTGATGTGTCAACAGTGCTTAGCTACTGTTGCCTCAGAAGGACTTCACTGGCCAATCAGGGATGAAGGACGTGGCCCTGCATTGTTCTGGGAGGGTAGAATTGTAGGCAACTCAGAGCTCGAGGCCAGACCCATAGGAAGACTGCATGTTGAGAAAATGGGGGCAACATTAACAGTGGCCCAACAAACTCCAGCAACCTCCACTGTCAAGGAAATGGAAAGAGAGGGCACATCAATTACTGAAAATATGAATACCAGCCAGGAATCCAAAAAGAAGGAACAGGTGAGAGGACCAGCGCTAAGCATTCCCTCCTCTTCTTCAGCAATTTCCCCTCCTTTAGGACCCTGCCCATCCCGAGCTTGGCAAGAATTCCCTCCCTAACCCACACCCCTTCTTACTATGGTTCCTTGGTGGACGAATCTCCTCCTCTCCGATTGTAATGACCTGTGGCCTCATTCTGTTATCCTTGCAGGTCCGAAAAACAACAATAAAAAAGAAAAAACAGAGAAGAACAACGAAAAAGAAAATCAAAGAGCAGACGCTTAAAATTTTTATGGAGGCGAAGGAAATCAAGTTCTCTGTGTGGTCAACCCCATGCCGTTTGATGATGGCAAAGAGGAATGCAGATCGTAGAGTAAGAGCACCGGAATTACCACACTAGATATAGTGGTAATAGAATTATTGTTAAAAATTGTTTGTCCTGCTAAGTCTGTGATGGGGTACTGGAGGAAGGTGTGGAAGATTGGGTGATTTAGAAGAGAGGGACGTTAATTCCTACAGGTTTGGGAGCCCACTGACAGATTCACTTCCAGGAAATATAAGTAGAAGACACGCCCTTTATTAAAAATGTGAAGGCTACTGGCAATGAAGGACAATCGGAAAAGGAGGAAAATGTGAGAGGAGCAGCACTAAGCATTCCCTCCTCTTCTTCAGTAATTTCCCCTCCCTTAGGACCCTGACTATACCCAGCTTGGCAAGAATTCCCTCCCTAACCCACACCCCTTCATACTACGGTTCCTTGGTGGGCGACTTTCCTTCCCTCCCATTGTAATGACCGGTGGACTCATTCTGTTATCCTTGTATATGTCAAAGACAAACAACAACAAAAAAGACCATGTTCATGGATGGCTCATGTGCTAAGCAGATCAAATTCACTTGGGTGGTAAACCCGATGCCGGGAGAACGTTCCGAAGAGGAACACAAACAACTCTCATCGAATCCGAATCCTAGACTCAGAGCACCGGGAAAGATGCCCCAGGGCACTACCACATTGGTGGTAGTGGTAATAAACACAATGACATGTTAAAAATTGTGTGTACTCCTAACTCTGTGATGGGGTACTGAAGGAAGGTGGGGAAGGGTGGGTGATTGAGAAGAGACGGACGTTAATTACTACAGGTTTGGGAGCCCGATGACAGATCCACTTCCAAGAAATGGAAGTAGAAGACACGCCCGTTTTGGAAAATGTGAAGGCTACTGGCAACGAACGACAATCCGAAAAGGAGGAACATGTCAGAGGACGAGCGCTAAGCATTCCTTCCTCTTCTTCAGCAATTTCCCCTCCCTTAGGACCCTGCCAATCCCCAGCTAGGCAAGAATTCCCTCCGTAACCCACACCCCTTCTTAATACGGTTCCTTGGTGGGCAAAACTCCTTCTCTCCCATTGTAATGACATGTGGACTCATTCTGCTATCCTTGCATGTGCCAAAGACAACTAAGAAGAAGAAAAAGAGAACAAAAAGAATGCAATAAAGATCACTTTCATGGAGGCCTCATGTGCTAATCAGATCAAATTCTTTTGTGTGCTCAACCTGATGGCGGTAGAACACTCCGAAGAGGAACATAAACAACTCTGATCCGAATCCGGATCCTAGACTCAGAGCACCGGGAAAGATGCCCTAGGGCACTACCACATTGGTGGTAGTGGTAATAAACACAATTACATGTTAAAAACTCTGTGTCCTCCTAAGTCTGTGATGGGGTATTGGAGGAAGGGTACTAGAGGAAGGTGGGGAAGGCTGGGTGATTGAGAAGAGAGGGACATTAATTCCTACAGGTTTGGGAGCCCGATGACAGATTCACTTCCAGGAAATGTAAGTAGAGGACACGCCCTTTATGGAAAATGTGAAGGCTACTGGCAAAGAAGGAGAATCGGAAAAGGAGGAACATGTGAGAGGACCAGCGCTAAGCATTCCCTCCTCTTCTTCAGCAATTTCCCCTCCCTTAGGACCCTGCCCATCCCCAGCTTGGCAAGAATTCCCTCCCTAACCCACACCCCTTCTTACTACGGTTCCTTGGTGGGCAAATCCCCTTCTCTCCCATCGTAAAGACCTGTGGACTCATTCTGTTATCCTTGCCTGTGCCAAAGACAACTAAGAAGAAGAGAACAAAAGGAACCCTAAAAACTACCATTTTCTTGGAGGCCTTATGTGCTAACCAGATCAAATTCTCTTGTGTGCTGAACCAGATGCCGGTAGAACGCTCCGAAGAGGAACATAAACAACTCTCATCTGAATCCGGATCCTAGACTCAGAGCACCGGAGAAACATGTCTTAGGGCACTACCACATTGGTGGTAGTGGTAATAAACACAATTACATGTTAAAAATTGTGTGTCCTCCTAAGTCTGTGATGGGGTACTGCAGGAAGGTGGGGAAGGGTGGGTGATTGAGAAGAGAGGGACGTTAATTCCTACAGGTTTGGGAGCCCGATGACAGATACACTTCCAGGAAATGCAAGTAGAGGACACGACTTTTATTAAAAATGTGAAGGCTACTGGCACATAAGAATCGGAAAAGGAGAAACATTTGAGAGGTCCAGTACTAAGCATTCCCTCCTCCTCTTCAGCAATTTCCCCTCGGTTAGGACCCTGCTCATCCCCAGCTCGGCAAGAATTCCCTCCCCTAACCCACACCGCTTCTTACTACGGTTCCTTGGTCGGCGAATCTCCTTCTCTCCCATTGTAATGACCTGTGGACTAATTCTGTTATCCTTGCAAGTGCTAAAGAGAACTAAGAAGAAGAGAACAAAAGGAACCCTGAAAACGACCATTTTCTTGGAGTCCCTATGTGCTAACCAGATCAAGTTCTCTCAGAGCTCGAGGCCAGACCCATAGGAAGACTGCATGTTGAGAAAATGGGGGCAACATTAACAGTCGCCCAACAACCTCCAGCAACCTCCACTACCCAGGAAATGGAAAGAGAGGGCACATCAATTACTGAAAATATGAACAACAGCCAGGAATCCAAAAAGAAGAAACGCAGGTCCGAAAAACAAGTAAAAAAATGAAAAAACAGAAAAGAACGAAAAAGAAAACAATCAAAGAGCAGACGCTTAAAATTTTTATGGAGGTGAACGAAATCAAGTTTTCCTGTGTGGTGAACTCAAATCTATCAATGATGAAAAGTGCAGCTTTACAATGGAGTGATAGGGGAATATACTGAAAATAACACCTAAGACCTTTAGTCAACTCCTGAGCAATATTCTCAGGGAAAAGGATTCAACCAACGCCCACAATCTGTCAAGTTGGGAACGTCTATCTACTTTAATGCTCAGTACCTCCTTTGTACTCATCACTACTCATCTCCGTGTCCACCATCTCCACCATAGTGGTCTTCTACTCAGAAAAATATTTGCCTATAATAATCTTGTCAGATCACTAACACACATCTGTGTTCTCCACAGTTCAGTCTTCTGAAGGCCTCAAATTCATCAGTGTTCCAGATTGAGAGAAACTGAGAGACTCTCCTATGGAATACAAAGAACTGATTGCAAACCTGAGGGCCTCCCCACTTAATCTCCCAATGTCCACTTAGAACTGGGAACTGTTCTAAAAATGCTATTGGAGCATGGCACTTTCACAATACATACCTTCAGGACATATGTATGTTTTGTTTGTGACAAAGCTTCTCTTTCTACTTTAGAAACCTCTAGAAAGTTAGAATCATTTGTTTTCTAAATATATACACACACACACATCTATATATTTATATATATACATATATATATACACATATATACACACATTATATATATATAATCACTTGGGGACATCAACTTCAAAAGGAATCAACCAATTTTTATATTATTCCATAAAACTCCCAATGAAAAAAATCTAATAATATCGCAGGCTGTTCCCAAACTTGGTAATATATTTGGGAAACACTACTACATAATTTACAATTGACTAACTCAGAAGTTTCATGTCATTTAAAAAACAAAGAACATAAACTCATAAATACCTTAAATACAATATAAACAAAGCAAAGAAATACCTCAAGTTCCACTAGAGCTGCAGTCACTGCATCTGTAGCAAGAGCACCAGCCTGTAGTTTTTCAATTGCCTGTGAAACCAAGGGGAAAAATTACTGCAAAACCACAGCTTCTCAAACATATCCTTTTAAAGTTCCAAGATAATGTTTTTAATGTAGGAAAAATTTAGAATTAATAAAAATTGGTCACTATTCCCATTCCACACTTTAAAGACAGGTTATCCAACCTTCGGACATTGTGACATGGAGTTGTAGCTATGTTGGGCTTCATTCCTGGATGTGTGTGGTCCATAAGCTGCAAGATGGACACACACACACACACACACACATACACACACACACACACACACCTTGCTTTAAGACGTAAATCACTCAGATTTAAGACATATTCAGGTTAAATTATGATATAATTCTTAATATTGTCCAAATTAAAACAATGAAAAGGAAGCCATTAAATGCAGTGTAGAAGGAACTTAGTAAGTGAAAGGACTTCACTCATCACAGAGCAATTACAGTCACAGAAATTATTTAAATTTAGTTTGATTAAGATGTTCTAATGTGGGGTTAGAGAGATGGCTGCTCTTGCAGAGGACCTGGATTTGGTTCATAGCACCCACATGGCAACAAAAAAAACAGTCCATACCTCCAGTTCCAGGGGATCTAACCCCCTCTTCTGACCTCCACAGGCATTGCACGACATGGGTGCACTTACATACATGTAGGCAATACACTCATATACAAAATATATAAAATATTTTTAAAAGATATCCTGCTAATTCATTATTTTATAAGTGCATCTCAGATCAAGCTATTTCTATTCCCATTCCTTTTACCTCCCATCCACACCTATAAAAACAGCTAGTGTTTCTAAGTCACAGAGGCATGTCAGAATCCTACAGCAGTAAGAGCTCACACATAAAATCTCAGCACTTAGGAGGCTGAGGCAGGAAGAATTCATGAGGTCATAAATTCAAGGCCAGCTCCAGGTTCAGACTGATATCCTATCTCAAAAAAAAAGTAAAAGCATTTAATTAAACAAAAAAAAAAGAATCTTCATATGGAAGTATTCATTTACATATACTACCATGCACTGGTCATGGTAGCACATCCCCTCAGTCCCAGCATTCAAGAGGCAGAAGCAGGTGGATCTCTACGAGTTCCAGGCCAGTCAGAGCTACCGAGACCATGTTTCAAATAAAAAAAAGAATATATATATTCTTTACTCTTTAAAATAAGTTTAATAGACTGGACAGATGGCTCAGAGGTTAAGAACACTTGTTCTTCCAGAGGACCCAAGTTAGATTTTCAATACCCACATGGCAGCTAAAAACTGTTCATAACTCCAGTTCTAGGGGATCCAACATCTTCTGGCCTCTACAGACACTGCATGCACATGATGCACGTACACACATGCAGGCAAACACTCATACACATAAAATTACAATAATAAATGAAATATTTAAAAATAAATGAAGTTTAAATAAAATTTAAAAGTTTGAAAAACTTTTTATTTAATGCATTTGAGTGTTATGTCTGCAGTGTTATGTAAGTGTATCCATGTGGCACAATGCCCACAGAGGTCAGAAGAGGCACTGGATCCCCTGGAACTGGAGTTAGCCACCACGTAGGTGCTGGGATTTCAATCCAGGTCTTCTTCAAGAGTAGCCAGTGCTCTTAACCACTGAGCCATCTCTTTAGTCCCTCTAAATTTTTAAGAAGGTAACTCAATATATACATTGACAAAGATGATAGATCAAAATAGATTAGATTTCTAGAACTAAAGTTATATAAAAATAGCTGGGCATAGTGACATGCACCTTTAATTCCAGCACTCAAGAGGAAAAAGCAAGCAGATCTCTTTGAGATCAAGGCCAACCTGGTCTATATAATGAGTTCCAGGCCAGCTGGGGCTCCAGGGAGACCCTGTGTCAAAAGGATAAAAAAAAAATAAACATTATATAAAAATAAAACATTTCTTTCTAGATAAAGATTTCACATGTGAAAACTAAGTGAAAAATTTAAATAAGAAAAATTATAAAATCCTAGAGAACACTTGGCTCTACAAGAAAAAAAATAACTAAAAAAATCTCCATACCAAAATATTCATAATTTAGAGTAACCCAAGC